GCATATGTCAACATAGTATGGTTGGGTTAAGGTAGTATTGTTTTGTACTGTAGGCCAACATACCCGGGAGAAATCCAATCTTGGTGACTGTAGGCTCGGGTCAATCCAATATTGCTGATTGTGGGCCCAGGGGCAATCCGGTCTTTGTGGTTGTGGGCCCGGATGCAATCCAGTCGTGTGTTGTGATCCTTAAGGGATGGGCAATCCAGTCTTATGACTGTGGGCCCATGGTCAATCCAGTTTGATGACTGCGGGAACGAAGGCAATCCAATTTTGTATTATGGGCCCGGTGTGCATGCATTGTATATGTATTGTTGTGTGAGGTATTTTGGCTGAACTCACTAAGTTTTCGCTTATAATTGTTGATTTCAATGTTTTCAGGTACATCAGATGATCGGGGAAAGGCGAATGTGTGATCGTGCACATCCTCATGTTGATTATGTGTTGAGAGATTATTTAGAAGAATGTTTGAATGCAAGTTAGATATCTAACATAGATGGACATTATTTTACTAGTGGTTGGGTATATTGCTTGGGGAGGTGCTATTTCTAAGGCATCTAAAAAGAAAACTTGCATCAAAACTCAACAATGGAATGAGCTTTTTGCTTTAGCCGAAAACGGTAAAGTGGCAGAGTGATTAAGGAATTTAGTTTATGTGATTTTGTTGTGGTCAAATTCAATCGCACCTATTTCTATACATTATGATATTATTGCCACTTTGGATAACACATATGATGAAGTTTATAATGAAAATTATAGATATATGGGTGTTATGCGTAACATGATTAGGGAGTTAATTAAGAATGGTGTAATTTCGTTGGAGTTTGTAACATTATCACATAATTTGGAAGACCATGTCGCAAAAGATTTGGCCAGAGACTTAGTGCATAAATCGTGATAGGTATGGGATTAAAGTCCATATGAATCCTTAATGGTAAGACACCTAATTCCCTTCTAACATGATGTGAAAAGTTGAATTCAATAAGGAAAGTTCACACTTTGGGAATGAACACACGTAGAGAAACATCTCGAGTTAGTGTGTTCGGACCTGTAGTCGGAAAGGTTTATTTTTATATTCTTAATATTCCTATGATAAAATGTAACCATGAACATGAATAAAAGAATTACCTATGTGATCGTTAAGTGTATCCATGCTTGAAAAAGCTAATTAGGACTTAGCTTTAAACAATCAAGAATGAATTTGAACACTCGCTTTGATAATAATGTCATGTTCTATTTTACTAGATCTTGTGTGCATTTATCTTCATGTATTCAATTAGGTTGATAATAGATGTTTCCTTAGAACTTGTGTGTATGTTATCTTGAAGTATCCTTATGATTGTTGGTGATTTTAGTGTTACCAAGTCGTTTTAGTGTAATGGAATTTGCAAGATGACCAATGGAGTTCAAATTCTAATTTTATACAAGTTGGGAGGGCGAAATGTGCACTTTTCTAAGATGACTTTGTTCTCGGTATGACCAAAATGACTAGGCTAAAGGGGGTTGCGCCCCGTTGTGGTGTCCTAGGGGAAGCTCCCCCGACCCTAGGGGTTTTGCTAGCAAGTGATCAGTAATGAGTACGCTGCCCTTGCAAGGTTTGGGGCAAAGCCCTGTCCCGAAAAATGTATTTTAATAAGAGGACGTGTTATGGAAAATATGAATTCTAAATTGTTTTAACATGGTAGAAGGCAGCTCACGCTGCCTTGAGATCGGTCGTTTTAAGCATGTGCTGACAGAATTAATAGGTTAGTTTTTGACATATAACTTCTGATAACTTCTAGTAACTTCGTAAAAACCATCATCCTTATCCAAATTTTGGATGTGATGAGTATTTATACTCGTTAACTAATGTATTTGGAATCCCTAAGAATTCAAATTCTCTCTAATCATTATTTTGGTCTCTTGATTTTCATTTTGTTCCTAGAATCAAAGTTTTTCTTTGTAGGATTATCCCTTATAATTTGAATTTCGTGGTGATTAACTCAGAGGCAAGGGGCGAAATATGAAATTCGAAAAGTGATTTATACAATCCTACTTGAAATCCAAGATTAATTTCGCGATTCCAGAAACCACCTTGTTGACCACATTTACCAATGGTTCATTCTACAAAATGATTAGAGATCATTCCTTATAAGATTGACGGTACTCATATTGTTAGCCGAGGCCAAGGAAAATCATTTATAGTGGTACCAAAATAATGATGGATAATTTTATATGATGTGTTCTTCTTTCTCCCCAATTGTAAATGTGGAATTTGGATGTTTGGGGATTGGAAATGGAATCAAGGGATTTAAAATAAGTGATAACCAAGTTAAAGATTCACATACTATGATAAAGAACGGTTCGAGGTGGTCAACCTCCCAAAGAAATAAAAAAAGACTAAAGAGATACTTTTACTAAAATTCTTCTCATCTTCATAATGCAATTACATTACATAATATTTAAAGAGTAAAGGAAACGCTAAAAAATAAGGAACTAGTGGTGCTAACAGTTAACCATGATCCTAATTAAAGAAAATATGCTACGTACGTGATTAACGGATAGTGGGTAGTTTAAACTCCAAGCAAAGGTATTAGGAAAAAATCATGGAAGCATTGCAAAACAGTGTCACAAAGGCCTTTCAATTGAATGCAGAGTATCTCTCATGCATCCGGCCTTCTGTACAACCCGAGACCCATATCATACTATAAAGTAAATAGTCAACCGTGTTTCACTTACATTTTGCCAATAGGTTGATTCCAATGAATGGTAGTTGAATAATATATTCATCTGTACTAATTAAAATGAGTTCCCATTGTGAATGTTTAAGACTTCTAGATTATATGAAGAGTAGTTTACCACAAGTGGATGAAGCTGACATTATTTAATTAGGAATCATGTCTTAAACATGATACATATGTAATCCCATTCAAAGTAAGTCATTAATTGCCAAATTGATTTTGACATTCAATTTGGAAAGTAATATTTCACAAAACTACATTATGCTCTTATAGGAAACATTATGTATGTCAGCTTAACGTCTGATCAACCAGTCACCTAACCAACATGAAGAAAGTAAATCATAATGTTACCAGAGTAAGGAATGTGATGCCCAAACTTGAATATTGGATCTCACTTACAAAGTCCATCTAGAAATAAGAATGCATGAACATGATCAAACATCATAATATCATAATATGCACCAATCATACATATACCCATACTTTTTTTTTTTTTTTTGGTTTTGATAGGCATACAAAACGCTAATTTTTATATGTAGCTTGACAAACAAAATCAGTTGAGTTTCACAAGGTACACTAATATGCTTTCAAAAAGAAACAGAATCGAACCCTAAAAATCCCTACACTTCAAAACAAAAGTAAGAACTAGTAGCAACGCTATGATCCCACCAGAAGAACCTCCAACTCTATATATCCAATAAAGATCAAACCTAGTAAGACTCTGATCCAAATAACACGAAAACCCCACAACGATTATCAAAACAAACAAAACTAGAAGGGCATAAGTGGAAATACTGATTAAAGGTTCATCTTCAAGCTCCAATTCTTCAAGAGTCTGTGATTTCCTGTCAATAAATAGTGGTGACACTACAGCTAGAACTCCTAAGCTTATAGCCAGCAACTTTTTAGTTGCTGATCGCCTCTCATTTCTTCTACGTGTGCCTTCATGCTCCATTTAGGGTTTTAATGAATTTTTTGGTTATTTTATTGAGGTAATCGATCGATCAATCAACCCCTTTGTTATTTTTCTCTTTTATGTATAGGAACCTGATTCCATAAAAAAGATGACAAACAATATCATCATGGAGGATATGGATTCTCTATTCCACTAGGGAAGATTGTGTAAGGTTGGAGTTTTAGGGATCTTTATAGAAAAAAAAAAGTTGATTATATTCTTAAATCCTAAATAATGTCACTAAACACTAACCAGCCTAAATTTTGTAACGTTTATGAGAATTCTTGTTCATATGGCGTGGCAACTTTTTTTTTAAAATAGTTTCATAAAATATTAACGAAGTTTCACTTTATGCAATTGTTGTAAAAATGTTGAAAAATACCAGTAATCAAATTTCAGAATTGTTGGATTGTCGTAAAATTTTGTTATGGTATTGTTTGCACTAAACTTAAAACATTTTGAACAATTGTATTATAATTAAATTTACTCTGTTAACTAAATTATTTCAATAAATCTATGTCACGTGTCCATAAAAAGAGTACAAACTTTCACAAAAATAAGATGAACTTCAAAGCTAAGCGTTAAAAAAAAAAAAAAAAAAAAAAAAAAAAAAAAAAAAAAAA